TTTGAATTTGAATCTCCAGGCAGGGCGACTTGTCCCTCGCGCCCGGCGTCGCTCATCAGCTCGGCATATTAAGGTTATCGTGGAAGATATCCGCAAAATTTTGCTGACTAGAGTTATATGTATTCAAATTCATGGTGCCTTTATTAGTCCCGCTATCCCATTAGCTGTTTCTCCTCTCTTTGCGCCATTTTCAATGGCTAATGCCGTTTGGACTCCAGAAATTTCGTCTTCGAGCTCATTTTCAAATTGCCTAAGTCACCAAATCCACTAAAAACTTGTATATAGGGGTAATTCAACATCCTGATTACGAGTATGACACTCATTCTTGGCGCTGGCGCCAAGAGAGACACTACGATTACCTCCTGGGCTCAGCCTTAGCAGAGCGCAGGTAATCGTAGTGTCATCCATTAGCGCCAGCGCCAAAAATGAATGTCATATTCGTGATCAGGATGTTGAATTACCCCTATATACAAGTTTTTAGCGGATTTGGTGATCTTGCCACTTTTAAAATGAGCGAAGACGAAATTTGTGGAGTCCAAACGGCATTAGCCGCTCATTTCAACGCGCTTTCGCAAGACGAGAGATTGCACGACTTCTTCCACTGAAGGTATGCAATTCACGCCAAGATCGACACAATCTTTTAATTGATCGTACACCGTACCCTTAATGCTGCATTCATATTTGCATCAATGTTTTGAGTGTTTCCAGCGTACGCCAGCGTTTTGTGCGTTTTCGCGGGCGGTTTTGAGCTTTAGAGGGCGCTGAATACGCTGGCGCACGCTCAAAGCGCTAGATCGATATTTGTGTTCTCATGGTCGCTCGTCGCTCGGAACGCTGCTCTCTCTACGATGGCGCACGACAGATCGATAAGTACACATTCCTAATCGCTCAAAATGCTGCAGTACGCACTGAACGCTGAGGCAAGAGTATGACGGCAGTTCTCTATCACTTTCATAGAGCCTGTTTATGGGATACTGGGCGTTTCGGCGCGAACCGGTACGGTACAGTCGTTCGCGGCGGACGAGGGATGTGTCAGGCAGGAAAATTGAAACACCTTCTCTATCAGTTGTTGAAGCAAGTAAACGACAATAACTGTTACGAACAATATGGTACGCTTTTGTTGCTTGTTCGTTTCAATCGTGTAAAACAGGTCTGGCGCCGCGCCATACCCATTACGCCCACGCCTCCTCGTCCGCGGCGGATAACGCTGTATTTCTCTTGGATGACGTTGGTATCGGCTTTGCTCAAGGATCTCGTTAAACTCGGATTCTGGGCGCTACATATAAACTTGGAGAAAGTTTAACGGGCTCCTTGTGTGAAGCTGATACCAACGTCATCCCAGAGAAATACAGCGCCATCCGCTGCAGATGAGAGGCGTGTCGGGCGTAATGGGTTTGGCGCGGTGCCAGACCTGTTTTACACCATTGAAACGAACAAGCCAAGAGTGTATCATATTGTTCGTATCAGTTATTGTCGTTTACCTGCATCAACAACTGGTGAAGCCTGCATCAACAACTGGTGAAGAACGGGTTTCGCCCGCCCTTCCTGCCTCACATACCCCTTCATCCGCAGCGAACGACTGCACCATGCTTTGAATTGGTTCGCGCCAAAACTCCCTCCTCCATGCTCAAGCAGTAGTCGCCATATTAACTGCAGAAAACTTATAGTCACACTTTGCAGTAGAATGACTTCTCATGCCTTCGAAAGATATTAGCTATCACCCTGTTCCATCACATCATCTCACAAAGAGAACTGTCTCACTGTTTCGACCAAGTCGTCATTGTAAAGGAGCTGGAATGAATTCGAAGAGCTTTTGTGGGAAGTCTTACAAGTAGCTTAGCACGATTAGGCGTTCAGCCGGTTAGGTTGTGTACTGAGCTCTTCGAGTCGTTTCAGGTACTTGGCGAAGACGATTGGATCGAATTTCCGAAATAATAAATGGCATCATCTTGCCAAACCTTTAGTAGGACCAGAAAAGCTGTACCACCTTTTTCACTCTTATACGCAAGGATAATTTTTTTTTGCATGATCGTTGACTTTCTGTTATTCATATGTTAAATGTCGTATATTGAACGATTCCAGCACCTTGTCAAAATTGTACAGCAAGATCGTTCGCTGTTCGAGAAGTCTATCAAAGCTGCAGATATATTGCTGACAAGCAAGGTAGGTTTTCGTTGTTTGTTGAATTGGAAACGAGATCCACTTCTCTTACAACTTTATATACGAAAAAAAATGCCATTACTTATGGGCCAACCCAGTAGCTCGGTAAAAGTGGGGTCCAGATTAGAGTCCTGCTGAGGATGGTGTTCACGCCCCACGACTAGTTTTTGTGGTGCATTTGACATTGGTTTTCCCCGGAAAGATGTACTTGTGTTCTGCATGTTATGTATGTATGTATGTGCTCTGCAAAAATGAAGACTCTTGTAATTATTAAATTACAGCTCGATAGTTTCCGCAGTTCAATGATCTCGCATAAGTTTGTTTATGGTGAAATCCTCACCCAACTGAGCCGTCCTTCATGTGCGCAAGCGTTTCTTTCTGGAACTGATGGAGCCCTCGTTAGTAGTTCATTTATCATTATTTTCCGTTTCAAAAACCATTTCTGTAGCTCTTTACTTTTTGTAGTCACTGTAGTTTTTCAAAAGCAGTAGCATGATTTGTGCCGGCATGTGGCGCTAGAACCACGCGGCGTCGAGTGGTCGTAAAGGGGCGATTGTTGTCAGCGTCATTGGTGGGAAGGCATTGGCCACACTCTCGCAAAACGTTGGGCAGTTTGGCGAACGCCGTCCTTCCGCCCTTCCACCAATCACGTTGACAATAACCCCCCCCCCCTCCTCCCCTATCCACCAGTCGTACCCACTGACTTTAATGCTTTTCTATAACACTTTTAATCCTTGTAATTACAGACATTGAAGCAGGCAGAAATTGACTTTCTACAACGCTTGAAATCGGCTTGGTACCCTTCCTTTCGTGAATGCTCTTCATTGAAGTTGGTGGAGGCGAAAGCTGCTGAAGCATCTCGCGTTGTTGCTGCTGTTCTATCTGCGAGTGAGGCGGTTGTAGACAAGGAACTCAATTTGAAAGGTTCTTAGTTTATCTTGACTTTTTTTTCTCGTTCCTTGGATGGGAATACCGTCTGTTACCTGCGAAATCAGCACTGTGGCTCGCAATTTGTACTAAGTAATTACTTATCGCGGAAAGTGACGCAACGTTACGGTGGACTGTTGCTTTTCATGTTTTGCATCATTTCTGTATGCTCTCTTTGGGCACTATCCTACCATTACGACTACAAATCAAAAAAAAAGCGGAAGCTTCGCCTGTAGAGGTTGGTTGCTGTCTTAGTCACGAATACAATATCCAGTTTTGGCGCTAGCCCCGTTTAACGGTAGTTTGGCGCCGCCTCCTTTCTTATCAGATCGGATGAAAACGTGCATACTGTAGTTATTTGGGATTCTAGCCACAATCATGGTATCCATTTTCAGCCCTGGTACCATTTGGCGCCGATAGGCGCCAGTTTGCCGCCATCGTTTTTACCAAAATTGATTAAACTAGCTTAATAGACTTGCTTGATGTCCTGGTCGCGAATATGATATTCATTTTTCTACACGTGTGCAATTGAACGTTCTAATCTGAGCCTGGGAGGAGGGCTGATGCCGTTTGGACGCGCTGACTTTTCGGTGCGAGCTCAATTTTAAACTGCCTAGTTCACCAAATACGCTGAAAACTTGTATATAGAGGTAATCTAACATCCTGTTCACTGAATATGACATTCATTACTGGTGCTGGCGCTAATGGAGGACACTACGATTATCTTCTGGGTTCAGCTTTAGCAGAGGGCAGATAATCGTAGTGTTCTCCATTAGCGCCAGCGCCAAGAATGAATGTCATAGTCGTAATCGGGATATGCAAGTTTTCAGCGGATTTGCTGATTTAGGCACTTCAACCCATTGCGTACCGCGTGCTGCACCATGTGCAGCACGCTTGTTTGCCTCTGTATGGCCGCGTGCTACACATGGTGCAGCACGCCTCGTTTTAACGTATTTAGCATTGTTCGATGACTCAAAACTGTCAGTATCTTTGTGAAGTCCCCCGGAAAGAAATACATGTGTGGGGAAATAGCAGTATCTTTGTGAAGTCTCCCGGAAAGAAATATATGTGTGGGAAATTGCGGGACAAACTAGAGCTAAGTTATTGATATTTTTTGGAAAATTCTTCAGCTACTATATCCTTTATTTATTTCTCAGTAACCAGTCAAAACAAGGCTCTGACTGCGACTCCACTAAAAATTCGCAAAATAGTAAAACTGAACAATTTATAGACATGTTACGTCCCATTCCCAATACTTCTTGAATTTATAAACCTTTTTGTTAACGGTCGCATTTTTTTGGCTCATCAATTTTATCACGTAATAGTATTCAATTTTACTTATCATACTCATGCATGCAACAGTAATGTATAATACGAAGTACATACAATATTTTTATGTCATATTATATGATAAAAATTGCATTTGTTTATACTCGGCGCGCCAGGAGTCGCGTCGACAAAAAGGCGTCGGCCACAGGCGCCCGCTTTCGCGAAAACGCCGCAATACGCAGTGGGTTAAAAATGAGCTCGTAGCCTAAAGTCAGCGCGTCCCAAGGGCATTAGCCTGAGAGGAGTGATTACTTTCTCGCCAGACTCAGCCTTAGCAGATCGCAGATGATCGGAGTGCCTTTCATTAGCGCTGGTGCAGAGGGTATTTTATACCCGTGACCAGGATGGCAAATAACCCTGGCAGGTTCCAGTCGATTCTGATGAAGGCAGGAGGTAACGTCATACTGGTGCCTGTTGACGCCAAATGGTGCCAGCGCCAGTTACGTTTTCGTAATCTGGCCACCGTGAAGGTCTACAAGTGAAGTTTCAGCGAATTTTTGCGGTTCTAGAGCCGTAATAGTAGAACAGTGCACTATTTTGAGGTGAATATTTAGCGATCGTCTGGAACTCGGCTCCCCACTATTTCGCCTATTTCTATTACTATACTGATCTGTACTCTATTATACAAGAAACATGTGAATAGTAACGATTCGGAGCGGGATTCACATAGCCTCCTCGCATCCTACTTATGTGACAGGCAGTTGATTTTGGAATAGGAGAGCACAGCTGCTCTTCATCATAATTTACGGTTCGTGTCAGTGGCTCATTATGTGTTCAAAGTTTTATAGAGTTTATAAGGGTATTTGATGCAACGTGTTGTGAGAAAATGTAAGCTGTTTGCACAAATCATTTCAGTTTTTGGGTTAGCAGCATATTTGGTTTCCGTTTCATGATGAAATTCAGATATGTGGCCATTCTATCGGGGGTCGCCGCGGTGGAGGGCATGGACTGCGAAACCGCGGCTCTTGCGTACGAGCTGTACTGTCTCACGCGACATTAAAATCATTATCGGTATCCACCCCCATTGTAGTCTGGAGAACGTGCCGTAAACAAGAGCAAATCCCTTGCTCTAACGATAGATCGTGCGGATACGCAAGAGAGAAAATCTGACTTTGTCTTGCGACTCGCCGCGCGCTATGTGAACGGTTCGACATCATTCGCTCGCGAGAATCGCCCCTCTCCCGTGGACTGAGTGTTTGGCTTCGAACCATTTGCCATCCACTGCAACAGCTACTCCATGTGTGCGGTAACTGCGGCGCGGTAACGCGTGCAAACTGTCAGAGCATTTCCCAGCGAATTTGACGCGCGTAGCATTGCCACGTTGAGTGAAATGGGTCCTGGTGGGAACGACTCCGCTGGTCAAGCAGCTGTTGTCGCTCTCGCCACAGCTTGAATGTGCAGAATTACTATCAGGTTCCTAATGCAGTTCTTTCTTATGAAAATACAGTAAGTGATAGAACAAAAACCGCTCTCATACATGGCTCGATTGTTTTGTTCTATTTTCAGGGCATGAAGCTCTGAGGCTCCTCGAGAGAATTAAGCTATCAGACTTCTTTTCGGAAGGATCATGGCCCCCTAATACTGATGATGACAAGACTGATTCCGATGTTCCTGATGCGTCATCTCCAATACCTGAATCACCGAAAGAGGACGAGAGTCCGGTGTCTTCTCCTATTAGTACTGGTTCAGCGAATAGTGACTCTAGTCCCGCCAAAGAGAGTCCGACCAAGAAAACTAGTAGCCCAGAAAAAGAAGCTTCTGAATCAATCAAAGAATCGGCGGATTCTGCAGCTTCGAAAGAAGCTGCCGACGACCAAACCTCGAATTCACGTCCGTTATCTGCGCCCAACACGGAAATTAGTGAAGGTTAGTCTTGCAGCTTGTAAAACTTCCTTTTTTTTAATTCTTCAGTGTGGGTAAGTTTTGGGCGGTTTATTCAGGCTAGGCTATCCTGTAGGCAGCGTGCTAGGGGCGGGCGGTTACTGCCTACGTCATTGGGAAATGGCTGGGAGAAGGCGTTCCACCAGTTACCTTTCAAGTAAAAGGCCACCCCCAGCCATCGTGCCCACTGCCTTTGAGTAACCTTTGTCCTCATGAAGATTCTAAATTATCTTCTATGGATCCTTTCCTGTTAGTCCGTTCCCCGAACCAAATTTTTTTGACTTTAGTTCGTAAGTGGATTTTGAGGGTCTTTCGCGGGCAGTGCGCATAAATGTGTGAGCTGCTTGTACGAATCACCACTGAGCGAACTGCATAGTGGCGCGAGTGCTTTTTTGTGGGCACTGTTCAGTTTGCTCACGGAAGTCTACTGCACACAGTTTTTGAAATTGTGAATGAAAATGCGAGATTACGCGAATGCTTCAACGTTTTTTTACGTGACGCAAAATCTTGTAGCGGAGGCGAGAGTAGCGCCTGCTGGAGCAGCGAAGTGCGGGTGAACAATATGAGGAAGCTGGGGCGAGGTCTTCAATGGGACGGGACTCCTGTATGGGTGACATTTGGGGGAGGAAGGAGGTCGAATCAAGTGAGAATTCTCCCACGCCACCTTGTTTCTCATGGCCCATGCTGTTAACTGTTTTCGCGAAGAAGTCGATTACAGGATTGTAATTTTAGATCATAACGATTCAGCGAATATGTCTGATTCGGGAAATGGTACGGTGACACCGGATTGCGAGGTGGCTCCTGATGCGAAAGAGTTCAAGCAGAAACCAAATAATGGATTCAGAGAAGTGAGCCACAATATAAACCTTTCTGTTTCTTTTGAGGTGCAGTTGTGTCGGGCGTCAGTTGTTAGTAATGAATTATTCATGGGGTTGCTCCATCCAGAATATTTTTTGTAGCAGATAGAGGGCGCGACTGCTGGAGGCGGACAGTTGTTGCCACCTTCATTGGTGGAAGGGCTGTGAGGAAAGTTTTTGGCCACACCATCGCCCCTTTCCACCAATGACCTTGGCGCAAGCACCAGCCTCCAGCGAACGTGCCTACTCCCTACGGGTACACCTAGATTTAGCTTTCGGATGTGATATTCGAGGTCACTTCACGGACCTCATGGCTAGGCGCTAAAGTGCTACCTCATACTTTGGTAGGTTTAAGGGAAATTGATGAGACCCATCATGTCTACTTTACTAGTTACGTGTTGCAGTTGGTGAGCAGACTTCATACTTGGGGGAGGGGCTTTAAATTTCATGTCTATCTTTTTTAGATGCGAAATTATCGAGGAAATTATAGAACCGCTGAAAGAGGTGCTTTTCAAGGGACCGGTGAGTTCCCTTCTACTTTTAATCTAAAATCACACTGGAAGTGGTGAAATTGTTCGCGTTTTTTTCAGAGCGTAATGATCAGAGAAACTATCCTGCGAACAGGGTTCCAAACGGTGTTAACAACAATTTTCCTCACTATAGAGGAGGGAACTTCCCGAGGAGACGAGGAGGTCGTTTTGGCCCTGGCCCTAATATGGGAACGCACGACGGTTCTCCTCGCCCAGATTATTGGCAATGGGACACGTCCCCCGTTCGTTTCTTTAACTATCAGAGACCCAATAGTTTCACTTACGAACCTGGAGTCAGTCGTCGCCCTGGCCCCACCACATTAGGCTTCATATTTCGTGGCAAGTGAAAAGTTCTTGCTCTTTAGGCAGAGTTCAGACTTCGCGACGGCAGCGCTTCGGTCGCGCGTTCGACGCGATCAATGCAGTCGAAAGCATGCGCATCGATCGCGTCGAACGCGCGACCGAAGCGCTGCCGTCGCGAAGTTTGAACGCTGCCTCACATCTTCTATGCCATACGTTTATGAGAATTCTTTCGACATCACTACACGTAATTGAAGCCTATCGTGCGTGCTTTTGCGAGTTTTATGTACAATTTTTGAATCGCCTTCTTCGCTCTTCATTTGAAACTGGTGTCCAGGGATAGTTAGACTCAACCCTTCTTCTTGAACTGGGTCTTACTTGGGGTTTTCGGTTGCTCGGATATCGGTGTACGATTTTCATTCAGATTTTGCTGTCAGCGTCGATTCTCGATTGTTAGTTTGTCATTCATTTGAAGAGATTAGCGAAACTCAATTTGATATCAGTTAGTGCTGGATTGCTTTCTCATTCCGGTTTTTCACCCAAATTGCTGTTCTCTGAATTGCCACAGTGCGTATTATGGGTTTTACGATCTTCGATTCTTTGCTGAAGTAGCTTTTTAGTTAGTTCGATCTATCTTTCCTCTGAAGACTTTTGTTGTACACTTTGTTATAGATAAATCTTTTCTTCCGAGCTTTCTGTTTACTTTGCGTTCTGAAGTGTTTCCTATAAACTATTACTTACAATCAAATATTCCTCCTCTTCCACTTCTGCTCTCTATAAAGAGATTTGAATCTTTATAGAGTGGAACAAGAGGAATACTTGATTGTAAATAATATTTTGTAAAGGTAAACTGTACAGTAAGTTGTGTGGATCCTTGTCCTCGCCATGTCCAAGGCGGATCCGCAGCTGCAGTGGCACCCCACTTTCTGGGCTCAAAAGTGAGCCGGGACGGTGCTGGAGGTAGCTGGTCCCCGGGCAGAGCACGTCCAGCCGTGTAGGAAAAACCTTTGCGATATAAGATTCCGCCCTATGTCTACTATTAGGTCATCCCATTCAAAAGTGCCGTCGGTTTTATTCGAATAAAACAAAGAGGAGAATAGATAAAAAGTAATATTTGGCTACAAGCTGAGTAAATCCCTTCTTCCCGAATGACCCGCTCCGAGTGCCCCGAAAGCCTTTGGACCTCTGGTACCTTCGATTTTTCAACAAGTGCGAGTAAATTGCTGTTGATGCCAATGACAAAACATTGTAGCGTTTGCCGTCGGAGAGTACTCTCGACTGACGAGAACAATTGGAATCGCTCGGCTTTATGTCGGGCGAATGGGGCGATTGAACCCAGGTCTCAGTTGTTTGTGTCCCAGCACTGCCCTACAATACAGTTACTCGGGGTCTGGCACTATGACGAGCAACGGTGGCCTTCTTGTAGTTGTGTGGTATCATCCATTTGTCGATCTGATTGCCGAGGAACAGGCAATATACACCGACAGCGACGATTTTATTCTCTGTATAGAGCCGCCTGAAAGCCACAGTGTGGGAATCCTTCGCTATGATGATCATCCACTTGCGCCCACGTAACTCTTCATGGTAGAACTCGGGCGGCTTCTCATCTGCATTCATACAAAATTGACGATTGTGAGTTTTGGCTCGAGGTCCAAGACCACCCATATTTCATCTAGGGCCGGGGTGCGTTTTCACAGTCGTGAATGACATCTCATGCTGAGAACATTACTGCTAGAGGTATAGAATCGGTACTGCGTTCGTGCTTCTACAAGATTAGGTACCCATGCGCACACCCTCTTGACCATCCTCAGTTTATCGGACATAACTCGGACACCAGTTGCAGCAGGGATGTCAGTCTCGCGGGCAAGCTCGACAAGGGTCCAGGCTCTGTGATCAGATATTCAGCGCTTGACTTCATCCACCCTTTTTTTCTTCACCTCTCACCTTGTATATCGAGAACACCATTACACACAACTACTGGTCCGGCGCCGGTCGAATTTGAGCAGCGCACTTCCCTCTTATGACGTCTGATTTGAAAATCGGGCGCTGATTTTCACCACTCGGGCTTCTTTTCAATTTCTCGAGAACTTCTTCTGTGGGTAGGTTCGCCAAATTTCACAGATACACAGCTAAAGGTACTAGCCTCCAAATGGTATAGTAGCCCGCTTCCCTATCCCCTTTGCTTTTCTGCCATTCCTCTATATGTCTCGGCACTTTTGAATGGGATGACCTAATACCATTTCCCCCATTTCCTCAAAGTCTCACTAGTACCACCACCTTTCAGTTGCTTTGAAATGAAAACTGTGGGGAGGGTTGAGGAAGGTAATGAAATGGAGAAACCCTCAAAAAATCAGCAATCGAAAACATTTTTCGGCAAAGTGGCTAGACACGATCCCCTCCCTCCACGGACGAAATATGGTACTCCGCTGAGGATCTCCCATCCCGCCTTGCCACACTCACGGCCCCTCTCTTGGCACTGCTTCCCCTTCGACGAGTTTCCGAGATCGTAGACTCTCCAGACCGATACAAATGCGTTGCTTTGTAGCCGATTTGTTGGATTCGCACAATCTCCTCCCTCACGAAGTATGCACGCCTTTCACACCACCCCCCCCCCCCCACCCCGCCGCCCTCATTTCTCTCCAGTTTCCGCGAAGTGCATTAGTATCAGATGAGAAGTGAAAAATGAGTTAATAGTCAGAGCAGGCGTGAGCTAGCTCATGAAAAGGCCTTCAACTATTCCAGGATTGAAACTATATTCCATTCTGTATTGCTTGATTCCCAAAATGCGTCCGTTGGAGGAATCTATCAACTCTCGGCAGACAGTCAATACCTCGCCGAGCTGCTGGGAAAGAGCGAGGTGTCAGCCGAATGTCGGTTCAATACCACTTTCACAGGACTGCCACAGAAGTGCCACAGTAATGTAGTACTACAGTGACCGATTACCCGTTTGACCAACATTCAGGCCTTCCCCTTTTCCCATCTTGTCCCTTCGCAACCACGATGTCTTGGAACCTAGCTAAATTTGCGAGGACAGCAATTTACCATTTGAGATGACATAGAAAAACGCCGTGTTAATTGGATTGGAGTTCGTCCTCAAGGCGAAGAAAAGGATAAGGGTTGTAGTAGGATAGCAGAGGAATGCGATGGACCAGAAAATGAACTACCTCATCTATAGAACTCTTGTTTCTGCACAATCAGAATCGCCTACGTAAGCGTTCATTGCTCTGTGCTAGCTTCGATAGTGTGTTAGGCAGAGGGCTCGGAACTTTTTCTGTCTGGTACGGCCATCATCTTTTTCAATAGACCTTCGATCAAGAGTTCCGTCTTCCTACGCACATATTCATCGTTCTCTTAGAGACTCCTGGGAGACCTTAGACTCCATTCTCATTCTAGGATGGAGGAGATCTAGTGGGACAATCCGAGAGTCAATTTTGGTTCTGCTCCATCGGATCAACCAGACCTTTCTCCTCTCCGGAGTCGGTTGCTTATTACCAAATTCGCCTGGGATGATAGAGGCAGCTACCTATACAACGGCTAGCGGCTGTTCTTCACCGGAGCGGACAAGCGCCCTCTATTGGTGGAAAATGAACTCTTGATACTTCATGCACGAGGGTGGCAAATAGTGTGTCGCGGTTTATCTCCAGTGAGCAAAGCTCGCGCCGTACCCACCTAACACGCCCCGACGCTTTTAGAGAAAATGGCTATAGAGTGCGTGGGGCACTCAAAAGTGAGCACGTGCGTGCGTCAGGTGCTTAGTCCTTTTCAATTTTGCTCGAAAGCACTAAAAAGGCAGAGCTTTTGCTGTAACCACTTCCTTCTCGAGATGCCGCATGCATTCATTCAGAATCATAGTAGATACCTAACGCGAGATGGCCTACACAGTAATATGCAAAGGCCGGTTGAAGTATAATTCTGAATTCTGGAAATGATCTGGAACCGACTTGACTGCTCCATAGAGATGGAAGGCTTGTTTGGCTTGGACGGGAGCCTACTCTGGTTCGACCCCAGGATCGAGCATCATGCATTTTCCACTACACCTCTTGCTCTCTTCTGCACATCAGCATGGCCTGGTCAACATAGATTCTATCGCTCATTTCGTCCCTACAACCCACAGTGATGTCGTGATGAAACGATCTGGGAAAGAGCCATAGTCAGGTCGCATACGTCGACGTCTCTTTGGTCCTCACTGAAAATTCCCAACGAGGAGGTCCGCATGTTTATGGAATAACAAGCATCACTTAGATCCATGTCACACTTCGTGTGCTGATAGCATTTTAATATTGTTGTGTAAAAAGTCCTCAGTGTGGGAAGCCTGGGTGCCCTACCGAGGAGTTGAACCAGCGACCCCTGTGTTAGTTGACTGGCTCCTAAATCCACTCATCTAACAATTCTTCGCCTCTATTCAAGGAACTATGGATGTCAGTTGATATCTTATCCAAGGATACGCCCTATCGTGCACTTTTATTGCCATGCAAAAAGCTCTTCGATTGTGCGGAGTTCGAGTGCACCGCAGAGGAATTATAACTAGCGACCCCCTGGGTTCGTTGAATGACTCCTGAATCCTTACTTCCGACAATTCTGACATCATTTCGCTCGAAAGTGGTAAATTGTGCAATACGACCAGGTGACCACAACCACCTGTCCATTTTCTGAGCTGCTAAGGTTGCACCGCAACCTTTTGTGGTTGCATACGCAACCACCTTGTTCACACGTCCAGAGGGGCAACGGTGCCACTACGCTAGATATGGACGTCACGGTTAGGCAGTAAGTTTTTTATCCAGTTATGCTCTACTAAGGTGGAAGGGAATATTGTGAATATGGGCGCCGTTAATTAGTAATAGAGGTTCATAATATCCCATTTCAATTTTCTGAACACCGTTAAGTCAGGTACCCAGTATAAGTTTGTTTTGCGTCACGCAGATGATCTTCCAAAGTGGAGCGTACCATAGGTCACTAGATAACTCGTTAAAGGAAGTTGGCACGATAAATCCCCCAAGACGACTAGGATCAATACTCCTGGCAGGATAGAATTCCGCGACCCTGGGCAGGCGCTGCATAGCGGTTTCCCCGAGGAAGGTGCCCTTATAAGGGCCCTATCAAGCCACAACTTTACGTCCCAAACGCCCGCCACGCCCGCCCGCCCACAAATGGACGACCGTTCCTGACGCTCGTATTCATTCATTTGCTAAGCAAATTATGAAGCGAAGGGATTGGTATGAAGCGGCCGTGATGCTGCATGCATACATGAGTACACCTCCTCATCATTACGGACTGTCGGGGCGTATCAGCCAGTAGGAGTGCGCACACTGTTTGAAGCCGTTCTCAGCCTTTTCGTTGAAACGCGTATGCGACAAAAAGTGGTAGAAAACGAGTAATACGAAGGATATAATACAGTAATGTCACTTCCTGGTTCAACGATTGGTGCAGAACGGGCGCGGACGACCGCGCCAAACGCAGCCGCACTGACCCGCCCCGACAGTCCGTTGAGGAGAGTACAATGCAGCCGTATCTTCGGTAGCGGTGATTGGCAAGATGCCTACGGGAAACTCGTCCGAAATCGATTTTCAAGTCACTGAGAACGGAGGCTTTTTCTTCGCAGGATTTTGACCGTTTCACTCCGTTCTTTCGCCATTTCCCCACTATACAGCGCCCTACTAGCATTTTAGGCTAAGTAGGAAACCATCGTGCCAACTGCCTTTAAGCAATTTGATGATGCGCCTGTAGAGCTCCATCCTTTCTTTTGGGATTATCCCCTTAGATCTGATAAGATCTCTTCAATCCTTCGCGACAGAGTGCTCCTGTTGAGGGAATATTCCACTTTTACATTTTACAATCAGAACTAACAGTAACTCACACTTGGTTCATTTTAGGGCGCTATCATCGTTAACATAAACCTTATCATCAGGGCACAGCATCATGATGTGTGAAATAGCGGTGTTGTTACAACTTATCCGGTAAGTTTCTTACCCTGGTACGCTTCACCTCCTCACACATTCTACCTCCCTGAGTTTTCTCAACTTCCTACAATTTTTGAACTTTCCAGTTTTCCCATCCCCCCCCCCCAAAAAAAAAATCGGAGGGGTAGGGGAGGTACAGTGCTGTGTGCTGTATACGCCTGGACTGTATCAAGAGGGCCAGGTTTGACTCGACCCCAGCCTGTTTTCCATTGCCATCCTGATTGCAGGGCTTTTGTCAGCCGGACATCCTCTCGCTGCGAGGGGTTAAAAGAAATTATCTTATCAGAGAGTTTCCGATCGAGCAATTAAGGGGAAGGAGAACTGAGGAAGAGCAAGAAGTGTATCATATATTGTTTCGTTCAGTTATTGCGTTTACCTGGCATAAACAACTGGTGAAGAACGGGTTTCGCCCGCCCTTCCTGCCTCACATACCCCTTCATCCGCAGTGAACGACTGCACCGTGCTTTGAATTGGTTCGTGCCAAAAACTGGGAGTCGCTGGACCAGTAACTCACCTCCTCCATGCAAATCAAGCAGTAGTGCAATAATTAATGCAGAAAACTTATACTCACACTTTGCAGTAGAATGACTCCTCCATGCCTTCGAAAGATATTAGCTATCACTCTGTTCCATCACATCATCTCACAAGGAGAACTGTCTCACTGTTTCGACCAAGTCGTCATTGTAAAGGAGCTGGAATGAATTCGAAGAGCTTTTGTGGGAAGTCTTACAAGTAGCTTAGCACGATTAGGCGTTCAGCCGGTTAGGTTGTGTACTGAGCTCTTCGAGTCGTTTCAGGTACTTGGCGAAGACGATTGGATCGAATTTCCGAAATAATAAATGGCATCATCTTTAGTGGGACCAGAAAAGCCTGTACCACCTTTTTCACTCTTATACGCAAGGATAATTTTTTTTTGCATGATCGTTGACTTTCTGTTATTCATATTGTTAAATATTGAACGATTCCAGCACCTTGTCAAAATTGTACAGCAAGATCGTTCGCTGTTCGAGAAGTCTATCAAAGCTGCAGATATATTGCTGACAAGCAAGGTAGGTTTTCGTTGTTGAATTGGAAACGAGATCCACTTCTCTTACATTTAACTTTGTATGCGAAAAAAAATGCCATTACTTATGGGCCAACCCAGTAGCTCGGTAAAAGTGGGGTCCAGATTAGAGTCCTGCTGAGGATGGTGTTCACGCCCCACGACTAGTTTTTGTGGTGCATTTGACATTGGTTTTCCCCGGAAAGATGTACTTGTGTTCTGCATGTTATGTATGTATGTATGTGCTCTGCAAAAATGAAGACTCTTTGTAATTATTAAATTACAGCTCGATAGTTTCCGCAGTTCAATGATCTCGCATAAGTTTGTTTATGGTGAAATCCTCACCCAACTGAGCCGTCCTTCATGTGCGCAAGCGTTTCTTTCTGGAACTGATGGAGCCCTCGTTAGTAGTTCATTTGTCATTATTTTCCGTTTCAAAAACCATTTCTGTAGCTCTTTACTTTTTGTAGTCACTGTAGTTTTTCAAAAGCAGTAGCATGATTTGTGCCGGCATGTGGCGCTAGAAACACGCGGCGTCGAGTTGTCATCTCCGATTTGTGGGGGGGGAGGGGAACAGGCGGGCGACTTGTTGTCAGGCGTCTTGTGGCAAGGCATTCGCGCACACTCCGCAAACGTTGGGCAGTTTGGCTCAACAGAACCGTCCTTTCCGTCCCTCCACCAATCACGTTGACAATAACCGCCCCTTCCCCTATCCACCAGTCGTACCCACTTACTTTAATGCTTTTCTATAACACTTTTAATCCTTGTAATTACAGACATTGAAGCAGGCAGAAATTGACTTTCTACAACGCTTGAAATCGGCTTGGTACCCTTCCTTTCGTGAATGCTCTTCATTGAAGTTGGTGGAGGCGAAAGCTGCTGAAGCATCTCGCGTTGTTGCTGCTGTTCTATCTGCGAGTGAGGCGGTTGTAGACAAGGAACTCAATTTGAAAGGTTCTTAGTTTATCTTGACTTTTTTTTCTCGTTCCTTGGATGGGAATACCGTCTGTTACCTGCGAAATCAGCACTGTGGCTCGCAATTTGTACTAAGTGATTACTTATCGCAGAAAGTGACGCAACGTTAGCGGCGTGAAGCAGTTGCTTTCCATGTTTTTGCATGGCAATTTCTGTATGCTCTCTTTGGGCACTATTCTACCATTACGACTACAAATCAAAAAAAGAGCGGAAGCTTCGCCTGTAGAGGTTGGTTGCTCTCGGTTTGGCGCTAGCCCTGTTTGACGGTAGTTTGGCGCCGCCCTTTCTTATCAAAAAACGAATGAAAACGTGCATACTGTAGTTATTTGGGATTCTAGCCACAATCATGGTATCCATTTTCAGCCCTGGTACCATTTGGCGCCGATAGGCGCCAGTTTGCCGCCATCGTTTTTACCCAAAATTGATTAAACTAGCTTAATAGACTTGCTTGATGTCCTGGTCGCGAATATGATATTCATTTTTCTACACGTGTGCAATTGAACGTTCTAATCTGAGCCTGGGAGGAGGGCTGATGCCGTTTGGACGCGCTGACTTTTCGGTGCGAGCTCAATTTTAAACTGCCTAGTTCACCAAATACCGCTGAAAACTTGTATATAGAGGTAATCTAACATCCTGTTACTGCTATAGCATTCATTACTGGTGCCGGCTCTAGTGGAGGACACTACGATTATCTTATGGGTTCAGCTTTAGCAGAGGTCAGATGCTTGTAGTGTTCTCCATTCGCCCAGCGCCAAGAATGAATGTCATAGTCGTAATCAGGATGTTAGATTACCTTTGTATGCAAGTTTTCAGCGGATTCGCTGATTTAGGCACTTCCCCATTGCGTACCGCGTGCTGCACCATGTGGGCGCACGCTTGTTTACCCTGGTGTAGCACGCCTCGTTTTAACGTATTTAGCACTGTTCGGTGACTCAGAACGTCAGTATCTTTGTGAAGTCTCCCGGAAAGAAATACATGTGTGGGAAATAGCGGGATCAAACTAGAGCTAAGTTATTGATATTTTTTGGAAAATTCTTCAGCTACTGTATCCTTTATTTATTTCTCAGTAACCAGTCAAAACAAGGCTCTGACTGCGACTCCACTAAAAATTCGCAAAATAGTAAAATTGAACAATTATAGACATGTTACGTCCCATTCCCAATACTTCTTGAATTTATAAACCTTTTTGTTAAGCACGGTCATTTTGCTCATCAATTTTATCAAGTAACAGTATTCAATTTTCTTATCATACTCATGCATGCAACAGTAGTGTATAATACGAAGTACGTACAATATTTTTATGTCATGTTACATGATAAAAAATGCATTTGTTTATACTAGGCGCGCCAGGAGTCGCGTCGGCAAAAAGGCGTTGGCTACAGGCGCCCGCTTCGACGAAAAACGCCGCAAACGGATGTAAAAATGAGCTCGTAGCCTAAAGTCAGCGCGTCCCAAGGGCATTAGCCTGAGAGGAGTGATTACTTTCTCGCCAGACTCAGCCTTAGCAGATCGCAGATGATCGGAGTGCCTTTCATTAGCGCTGGTGCAGAGGGTATTTTATACCCGTGACCAGGATGGCAAATAACCCTGGCAGGTTCCAGTCGATTCTGATGAAGGCAGGAGGTAACGTCATACTGGTGCCTGTTGACGCCAAATGGTGCCAGCGCCAGTTACGTTTTCGTAATCTGGCCACCGTGAAGGTCTACAAGTGAAGTTTCAGCGAATTTTTGCGGTTCTAGAGCCGTAATAGTAGAACAGTGCACTATTTTGAGGTGAATATATTTAGAGCGATCGCTGAACATGGAGGACTCCCACTATTTCGCCTATTTCTATTACTATACTGATCTGTACTCTATTATACAAGAAACATGTGAATAGTAACGATTCGGAGCGGGATTCACATAGCCTCCTCGCATCCTACTTATGTGACAGGCAGTTGATTTTGGAATAGGAGAGCACAGCTGCTCTTCATCATAATTTACGGTTCGTGTCAGTGGCTCATTATGTGTTCAAAGTTTTATAGAGTTTATAAGGGTATTTGATGCAACGTGTTGTGAGAAAATGTAAGCTGTTTGCACAAATCATTTCAGTTTTTGGGTTAGCAGCATATTTGGTTTCCGTTTCATGATGAAATTCAGATATGTGGCCATTCTATCGGGGGTCGCCGCGGTGGAGGGCATGGACTGCGAAACCGCGGCTCTTGCGTACGAGCTGTACTGTCTCACGCGACATTAAAATCATTATCGGTATCCACCCCCATTGTAGTCTGGAGAACGTGCCGTAAACAAGAGCAAATCCCTTGCTCTAACGAATAGACGTGCGGATACGCAAGCCAAGAGAAAATCTTGACTTTGTCTCCGCCGCGCGCTAATGTGACGGTTCGACGATCATATCGCGTCGCGAGAATACCCCGTCTCCCGTGGACTGAGTGTTTGGCTCGAACATTTTGGCCATCCGCACTGCAACAGCTACTCCATGTTGCGGTAACGTGCGCGCGATAACGCGTGCAAAACTGTCAGAGCATTTCCCAGCGAAATTTGAGCGCGTAGCATGCCCAGGGGGGGGGGGGGGGGGGGGGGGGGGGGGGGGGGGGGGGGGGGGGGGGGGGGGGGGCGTTGAGTGAAATGGGTCGCTGGTAAAACAGACTCGCGCTGGTCACCGACAGATGTTGTCGCTCTCGCCACAGCTTGAATGTGCAGAATTACTATCAGGTTCCTAATGCAGTTCTTTCTTATGAAAATACAGTAAGTGATAGAACAAAAACCGCTCTCATACATGGCTCGATTGTTTTGTTCTATTTTCAGGGCATGAAGCTCTGAGGCTCCTCGAGAGAATTAAGCTATCAGACTTCTTTTCGGAAGGATCATGGCCCCCTAATACTGATGATGACAAGACTGATTCCGATGTTCCTGATGCGTCATCTCCAATGACCTGAATCCCAGCCGAAAGAAAGGACGAGAGTCGGCGGTGTCTTCTCCTATTAGTACTGGTTCAGCGAATAGTGACTCTAGTCCCGCCAAAGAGAGTCCGACCAAGAAAACTAGTAGCCCAGAAAAAGAAGCTTCTGAATCAATCAAAGAATCGGCGGATTCTGCAGCTTCGAAAGAAGCTGCCGACGACCAAACCTCGAATTCACGTCCGTTATCTGCGCCCAACACGGAAATTAGTGAAGGTTAGTCTTGCAGCTTGTAAAACTTCCTTTTTTTTAATTCTTACAGTGTGGGTAAGTTTTGGGCGGTTTATTCAGGCTAGGCTATCCTGTAGGCAGCGTGCTAGGGGCGGGCGGTTACTGCTTACGTCATTGGGAAATGGCTGGGAGAAGGCGTTCCACCAGTTACCTTTCAAGTAAAAGGCCACCCCCAGCCATCGTGCCCACTGCCTTTGAGTAACCTTTGTCCTCATGAAGATTCTAAATTATCTTCTATGGATCCTTTCCTGTTAGTCCAATCCCCGAACCACATTTTTTTGACTTTAGTTCGTAAGTGGATTTTGAGGGTCTTTCGCGGGCAGTGCGCATAAATGTGTGAGCTGCTTGTACGAATCACCACTGAGCGAACTGCATAGTGGCGCGAGTGCTTTTTTGTGGGCACTGTTCAGTTTGCTCACGGAAGTCTACTGCACACAGTTTTTGAAATTGTGAATGAAAATGCGAGATTACGCGAATGCTTCAACGTTTTTTTACGTGACGCAAAACTCTTGTAGCGGAGGCGAGAGTAGCGCCTGCTGGAGCAGCGAAGTGCGGGTGAACAATATGAGGAAGCTGGGGCGAGGTCTTCAATGGGACGGGACTCCTGTATGGGTGACATTTGGGGGAGGAAGGAGGTCGAATCAAGTGAGAATTCTCCCACACGCCACCTTGTTTCTCATGGCCCATGCTGTTAACTGTTTTCGCGAAGAAGTCGATTACAGGATTGTAATTTTAGATCATAACGATTCAGCGAATATGTCTGATTCGGGAAATGGTACGGTGACACCGGATTGCGAGGTGGCTCCTGATGGCAGAAGAGTTCAGCAGAAACCAAATAATGGATTCAGAGAAGTGAGCCAGCAACATAAACCTTTCTGTTGCTCTTTTGAGGTGCAGTGTGTGCGGGCGTCAGTTGTTAGTAATGAATTATTCATGGGGTTGCTCCATCCAGAATATTTTTTGTAGCAGATAGAGGGCGCGACTGCTGGAGGCGGACAGTTGTTGCCACCTTCATTGGTGGAAGGGCTGTGAGGAAAGTGTTTTGGCCACACCATCGCCCCTTTCCACCAATGACCTTGGCGCGCACACCAGCCTCCAGCGAACGTGCCTACTCCCTGCGGTAAACTTTAGATTATAAGCTTCGGATGTGATATTTGAGGTCACTTCACGCGGACCTCATGGCTAGGCGCTAAAGTGCTACCTCATACTTTGGTAGGTTTGAGGGAAATTGATGAGACCCATCATGTCTACTTTACTAGTTACGTGTTGCAGTTGGTGAGCAGACTTCATACTTGGGGGAGGGGGGGGGGGGCTGGCTTTTAAATTTCATGTCTATCTTTTTTAGATGCGAAATTATCGAGGAAATTATAGAACCGCTGAAAGAGGTGCTTTTCAAGGGACCGGTGAGTTCCCTTCTACTTTTAATCTAAAATCACACTGGAAGTGGTGAAATTGTTCGCGTTTTTTTCAGAGCGTAATGATCAGAGAAACTATCCTGCGAACAGGGTTCCAAACGGTGTTAACAACAATTTTCCTCACTATAGAGGAGGGAACTTCCCGAGGAGACGAGGAGGTCGTTTTGGCCCTGGCCCTAATATGGGAACGCACGACGGTTCTCCTCGCCCAGATTATTGGCAATGGGACACGTCCCCCGTTCGTTTCTTCAACTATCAGAGACCCAATAGTTTCACTTACGAACCTGGAGTCAGTCGTCGCCCTGGCCCCACCACATTAGGCTTCATATTTCGTGGCAAGTGAAAAGTTCTTGCTCTTTAGGCAGAGTTCAGACTTCGCGACGGCTGCACTTCGGTCGCGCGTTCGACGCGATCATTGCGGTCGTGAGGATGCGCATCGATCGAGTCCAAACGCGCTACCAAAGCACCGCCGTCGCGAAGTTTGAACGCTGCCTCACATCTTCTATGCCATACGTTTATGAGAATTCTTTCGACATCACTACACGTAATTGAAGCCTATCGTGCGTGCTTTTGCGAGTTTTATGTACAATTTTTGAATCGCCTTCTTCGCTCTTCATTTGAAACTGGTGTCCAGGGATAGTTAGACTCAACCCTTCTTCTTGAACTGGGTCTTACTTGGGGTTTTCGGTTGCTCGGATATCGGTGTACGATTTTCATTCAGATTTTGCTGTCAGCGTCGATTCTCGATTGTTAGTTTGTCATTCATTTGAAGAGATTAGCGAAACTCAATTTGATATCAGTTAGTGCTGGATTGCTTTCTCATTCCGGTTTTTCACCCAAATTGCTGTTCTCTGAATTGCCACAGTGCGTATTATGGGTTTTACGATCTTCGATTCTTTGCTGAAGTAGCTTTTTAGTTAGTTCGATCTATCTTTCCTCTGAAGACTTTTGTTGTACACTTTGTTATAGGATAAATCTTTCTTCGATGCTTCATGTTTACTTTGCGTTGCTGAAAGTGTTTCCTATAAACTATTACTTACAATCAAATATTCCTCCTCTTCCACTTCTGCTCTCTTTATAGAGATTTGAATCTTTATAGAGTGGAACAAGAGGAATACTTGATTGTAAATAATATTTTGTAAAGGTAAACTGTACAGTAAGTTGTGTGGATCCTTGTCCTCGCCATGTCCAAGGCGGATCCGCAGCTGCAGTGGCACCCCACTTTTCTGGCGTCAAAGCGAGGCCCGACGGTGCTGGAGGTAACCCGCTGGTTCGCCGGGCAGAAGCACGTCCGCCGGTGTAGGAAAAAACCTTTGTGATATAAGAATTCCGCCGTATATCTTACTATTAGGTCATCCATTCAAAAGAGCCGTCGGTTTTTATTCGAAATAAAACCAAAGAGGAGACTAGGTAAAAAAGTAATACTTTGGCTACAAGCTGAGCAAATCCCTTCTTCCCGAATGACCCGCTTGGAGTGCCCCGAAAGCCTTTGGACCTCAGGTACCTTCGAATTTTCAATAAGTGCGAGTAAATTGCTGTTGATGCCAATGACAAAACATTGTAGCGTTTGCCGTCGGAGAGTACTCTCGACTGACGAGAACAATTGGAATCGCTCGGCTTTATGTCGGGCGAATGGGGCGATTGAACCCAGGTCTCAGTATTGTTGTCCCAGCACTGCCCTACAATGCAGTTACTAGGGGTCTGGCACTTTGACGAGCAACGGGTGGCCTTCTTGTAGTTGTGGGTATCATCCATTTGTCGATCTGGTGGCCAAGGAATAGGTAATATACACCGAACAGCAACGATATTATTCTCTGCATAGAGCCGCCTGAAAGCCACCGTGTGGGAATCCTTCGCTATGATGATCATCCACCTGCGCCCACGTAACTCTTCATGATATAATCCGGGCGGCTTCTCATCTGCATTCATACAAAATTGACGATTGTGAGTTTTGGCTCGAGACCCAAGACCACCCATATTTCATCTGGGGCCGGGGTGCGTTCTCACAGAATGAAATCTCATGCTGAGTACATCACTGCTAGAGGTATAGAACCGGTGCTGCGTTCGTGCTTCTACAAGATTAGGTACCCATGCTCACACCCCCTTGGCCATCCTCAGTTTATCAGACATAACTCGGACACCAGTTGCAGCAGACATGTAAGTCTTGCGAGCAAGCTCGGCAAGGGTCCAGGCTCTGTGATTAGATATTCAGCGCTTGACTTCATCCACCCTTTTTTTCTTCACCTCTCACCTTGTATATCGAGAACGCCATTAACAAGCGAAACGACTGGCCCGGGGCCGGTCGAATTTGAGCAGCGCACTTCCTCTTATGACGTGCGATTTGAAAATCGGGCGCTGATTTTCACCGCTCGAGCTTTTTTCGATTTCTCGAGAACTTCTTCTGTGGGTAGTTCGCCAAATTTCACAGATACACAGCTAAAGGTACTAGCCTCCAAATGGTATAGTAGCCCGCTTCCCTATCCCTTTGCTTTTCTGCCATTCCTCTATATGTCTCGGCACTTTTGAATGGGATGACCTGATACCATTTCCCCCATTTCCTTAAAGTCTCACTAGTACCATCACCTTTCAGTTGCTTTGAAATGAAAACTGTGGGAGGGTTGAGGAAGGTAATGAAATGGAGAAACCCTCAAAAAATCAGCAATCGAAAACATTTTTCGGCAAAGTGGCTAGACACGATCCCCTCCCCTCCACGGACGAAATATGGTACTCCGCTGAGGATCTCCCATCCCGCCTTGCCACACTCACGGCCCCTCTCTTGGCACTGCTTCCCCTTCGACGAGTTTCCGAGATCGTAGACTCTCCAGACCGATACAAATGCGTTGTTTTGTAGCCGATTTGTTGGATTCGCACAATCTCCTCCCTCACGAAGTATGCACGCCTTTCATAGCCCCTCCGCCCCCCCCCACCCCGCCGCCTCATATTAATTCGCGAGTTATCACGACAAGTGCATTAGTATCAGATGAGAAGTGAAAAATGAGTTAATAGTCAGAGCAGGCGTGAGCTAGCTCATGAAAAGGCCTTCAACTATTCCAGGATTGGAACTATATTCCATTCTGTATTGCTTGATTCCCAAAATGCGTCCGTTGGAGGAATCTATCAACTCTCGGCAGACAGTCAATACCTCGCCGAGCTGCTGGGAAAGAGCGAGGTGTCAGCCGAATGTCGGTTCAATACCACTTTCACAGGACTGCCACAGAAGTGCCACAGTAATGTAGTACTACAGTGACCGATTACCCGTTTGACCAACATTCAGGCCTTCCATTTCCAGCATCTTGTCCAGCCTTGGACCCGATGTCTTGGAAAACTGGCTAAAATTTTGACGAGGACAGGATATATACCGATATTGAGATGACATAGAAGCGCAACGTGATTAATTGGATTGAAGTTCGTCCTCAACCCAGCGAGAAGGAATAAAAGGAGTTGTAGTGGGATAGCCGACGGAATGAGCGATGGAACGCAGAAAATGAACTCCACTCATCTATAGAAACTCCTGCTTTCTGCACAATCAGAATCGCCTACGTAAGCGTTCATTGCTCTGTGGTAGCTTCGATAATGTGTTAGGCAGAGGGCTCGGAACATTTTTCTGTCTGGTACGGCCATCATCTTTTTCAATAGACCTTCGATCAAGAGTTCCGTCTTCCTACGCACATATTCATCGTTCTCTTAGAGACTCCTGGGAGACCTTAGACTCCATTCTCATTCTAGGATGGAGGAGATCTAGTGGGACAATCCGAGAGTCAATTTTGGTTCTGCTCCATCGGATCAACCAGACCTTTCTCCTCTCCGGAGTCGGTTGCTTATTACCAAATTCGCCTGGGATGATAGAGGCAGCTACCTATACAACGGCTAGCGGCTGCTCTTCACCGGAGCGGACAAGCGCCCTCTATTGGTGGAAATGGACTCTTGATACTTCATGGCTAAGAAAATGGCTATAGAGTGCGTGGGGCACTCAAAAGTGAGCACGTGCGTGCGTCAGGTGCTTAGTCCTTTTCAATTTTGCTCGAAAGCACTAAAAAGGCAGAGCTTTTGCTGTAACCACTTCCTTCTCGAGATGCCGCATGCATTCATTCAGAATCATAGTAGATACCTAACGCGAGATGGCCTACACAGTAATATGCAAAGGCCGGTTGAAGTATAATTCTGAATTCTGAAATGATCTGGAACCGACTTGACTGCTCCATAGAGATGGAAGGCTTGTTTGGCTTGGACGGGAATCTACTCTGGTTCTACCCCAGGATCGAGCATCATGCATTTTCCACTACACTCTTGCTCTCTCTTGTCACGCATGGCCTGGTCAACATAGATTCTATCGCTCATTTCGTCCCTACAACCCACAGTGATGTCGTGATGAAACGATCTGGGAAAGAGCCATAGTCAGGTCGCATAAACGTCGAACCGTCATCTTTGGTCCTCACTGAAAATTCCCAACGAGGAGGTCCGCATGTTTATGGAATAACAAGCACCACTTAGATCCATGTCACACTTCGTGTGCTGATAGCATTTTAATATTGT